TGCGAAATGAATTCACAAGAGGCTCAAAACACAAACGATGAGGTTTTGCCCGGAAACGACTATGCACGCTAACGTAACTTACCTATTTAGACGGGCTACAATGGTCCATGGCTTAAAAATATAGCCGATGCAAAATCCGACCCCCCAACGGGTAAAAAGGCAAAAATGGACTTGGAATGGAAAATATGGAATCCAAAAATGCAAAACGGGATCAAATGACCGTTTGGCCCTTGGCCACACTTCATACAAGATTAATAAGACCCTATAAAAGAATGAAAATGGAATTCCCACACCTGATGCAACCGTGGTGAAGGAATGACTTGCGATTTTTCAAGTTTTTCATAACATTTCATGAAGTTAAAAAGTTGCATAAAATACAATATACATGTCATTGGCCTCCGGCCTCATCTCATATATATCAAATACATTAAAAGGAGTGTACTTAAGTACACATTACATACATGGAATCAAATATACATATTTTGACATATAAGTCTACAAAATGACATTTCATACTAACATTTGCATGAAATGGAAACTTGAAAGCTACACGACATCTAAGGAATGCTAGGCTTCATGAACCAAGTCTTCGTACCTGAAATATGCCCCAGTATCGTAGGGGTGAGTAACGTAAAGCTACTCGTAGGAGATGAGCATGCATCAACCTAGCATTTTACAAATTTATCACCTTAAGGTGAAACATGTTAAAGGGGCTCATGCCACCTAACGTCTATGTCCAAGTGAGACTCGGGGAGCATCCTAAGCTACCTTAGAGTCTAAGCAACAAGAATCATGATATACATACGTGTATGAAACGAATCATGGTTGGGATAATCTAAAGAACACGGCAAGAAGAATGCTTGAGCATATATTAACATGAATTGCATTTTCAATACAATTGAACTAGGTCTAGAGTAATCCATACAACATAACAAAAGCATATTTAAATACAAGTTAACAAAAATCACGTTATCCATGCAATTCAACAACAAAAGAGCATGTTATACAATGCAACAAGGTTTAAGTTCTCAAAGCTATCAACTTAGAATCTAAAGCACAAAATAAAAGTAATGGTTTATGCCACCTAACGTCTATGTCATAAATGAATCAATAAGATCAATCCTAAGCTTTATTAGAACGTCAAAACACGATTTTCAATATCGATGCAATTTAACCAACATTGGAACTTCCAATACAACGCATAAAGCACAATTTCGCAAAGTTAACATCCTGTAACTTAAAATGGAACGACAAATAAGAAACAATAAGTTACAACATCATCTAGTTATCAACTTGAAAATGAAATGCGAAATCAAACAAAGTGGATACTCGGACGTCACGCCGGATCAGACCGACAACATAGTTACTTTAGGGTTACTAGCCCATGGGTAACCTCCCTACGTGCACACTAGACTATATATAGAGGGACTATCCCCCGTACTAGAACCACGTCCTAGCCATAGTCAAACAACGACATCCCCAAGTTTCCAAAATCAACAAGTTGTGCAACAATGCATATATCAACAAGAATATGCAAGATAATCAACTATCTACTAAGTACAACCAAATTTGGAAACCTATACAATACATGCTCTAAATCCGCAACTAATATGCTATGATGAATATCGAATCTTCAGTGTGTGATTCGTTACACGCTATGCATAAATGATGTTAAATACGAAATGTGCAAATCATTACACAATATTTTCAAAAAGAAAACATATTCTCATGAATACAAACATAGCAACTATGTTATCCAATGTTCAAAACATAACCAAATGAATATACAACAAGTCCAAGTCCATGATTTTGATATAGAAACGACTTTCAAACACAATTAAATCCATGGCTCAATTCGATAGAATTTTATTTAAATAAAAATAATTAAATTCCCTATATTCTAATTCAATTCCAAATAACCTCAAATTAATACATATTAAAGAACATGGCATGGTCATTACCTATATCTATTCTAAAACTCAATTAGGTTATTGGAACAACAAAGTAGAACTCTAATTAAATCATGCTAATTTAATTACCAAGGTTCTAAAGTAACTTCAAATGGTCTACAATTAATATATACTAGTAAACAAGTCATGGCCAATACAAACATCAAGTTAAAACCTTAATTAAGCTAATGGGACCACAAAATAGATTTTAATTAATTCTTTTAATTAAAATCTCTAGATTTTCAAACTTAACCAAATGCTCTCAAATTAACCTATGTTGGAAAGCATGCCAAGAACTAATATAATATCACATTACAAGTTTATTTCATTCAATTTAAGACCATGTGAATTAAACTTTCACTAAAGTTAAGTATAAATTAAAAGTTACAATTCTCATGCAATTAATCCCAATTTAATATATGTGAACAACTATACCTAAGTTTAATTTTCTAGCATGCCACAATTCAATTCCAAGTTGTATATCACCATGAGGATTAAATCTTAAACAAGGAAATTTAATTAAATAAAAGGTTTCAAAACCTAACCAAATATTCTAAATCAAATATATGTGAAACTATATGGCATGTAAATCAAGAATATCAAGTCGAAATTCAAATAGAGTGAATAGTACACTCGGGGCAAATTAATTAATCAAATTAATTAATAATTACTAATTTTCAAAATACCTCCAATTACTTTCAAATTCAACTATGTTAGAGAGCATGCAAAGGCCTAATTTAATATGCTAACATATATTGATTTTAAGTTAGTTAAGGCCATGTGAATTAATCTTTCACCTAAGATAAACATTAAATAAAATCTTTAATACTTATTCAAATGTTTCAATTTTAATACACGACAATGAGCATATCAAGGGGTAATATAAAATCATGCTACATGTTTAAACCAAATCATGAGCAACCGGGAAAATTAGATCCCGTACAAGAAAAATAAATAATAAAATCTCTAGATTTTATATTTAATCATGCAAATAAGTAGTATAAGCATCACAAGCATGCTATATAACAAGAATTTAAACCTAAAACATCTCCTACCTCAATTTGAGATGAAAATCCTAAAGGCCCACCAAAATAAAAGTACTCCGAATTCGACGATACCGATAGGTTTTGTCGGGGACAACGCCGTGAACATAACCCCCATGAAAGCCCCATCAAAATCATAACTTGACCTCAAAACCAAACTCAAGAAATGGTCAAAACTGAATTCTGATAAAAGGGAAAGGTAGAGCACAGCGAGTGGAATAACAAACGTTAAGGCCGAAGACTTTCCATCAAGGAAAAGTGAACCAAAAGAGGAGAGAGAAGATGGCAGCACCCCTTGGGTTGCCATGGGAGCTCTAGGTCGTGCATGAAGAGGGGAGAAGATGAAAAATGAAATATCTCACCCTCCTTTTATAGAAATCTCAAAAAGTGCCCCGAACGGGCCCCGCCAGGTCCGAAAAAGTAAAATTTGAGCAGACGCGCTCAAGTGGCAAAACTTTGTGAATGAAAAAGATTCAAAATGATAAAATATGAACAACGGACGAAACCGAATCCCGAGCAGAAAGTTATGCCCAAAACAAGTTTGGCGAAAATCGGGGGCCAGAAACCCTGAAACTTGAAAACATCGACCAGGAGGAAATTCCAAGAGTACATAACTCGACGAAATGTGAAAATGAAACCCGTACGAGGATCCAAGCTCAAAACAAGACATTTTGCAATAACTTTCATTAATTGCACAATGGCCCCTCCAAAAAGTGAAAACTGCACTTATGACTCAGAATGAAAATATATTCCAAAAATATTTTCTTAAAAACCCCTGAAATAAAATATCTTCAAAAGATATTTACGAAAAACACCCCAAGAAAAGAAAATAATTTCAAAGAACTTTGCATCCATGCCCCTATGGACACCGGGAGCAACCAGAGTACTTTCTTGCAAAAGTAAAGATACGTATTTCGAGGAAACCACTCAAGATGAAGGCACGTGAAGTCAAAAACCAACTCCGAGCATGAGAAGTGAGGTTGTGCCAAAAACTGACAAACAGAGATAAGTTGAAATAGGGAAAATGACAGAATAGGGAAAAGACGAAATAGCGCATAGTGTCCGAAAAACGAAAAATGCGAAAATGACTCAGTCCTCAAAGGAAGTTGTCAATTCACATGAAAGAGTCTCAGAACCAATTTTAAGCACTCGAGATGACACTAAGCGATATGAAATAGAGCTCAGAAAGGAAAATTAAACGAAAAAAATTCATTCATAAAATTTCAGGAAAAAGGAAAGGAAGGCAAATGACCGGGTCATTACATATTACACACACGAGTGATTTAGGATGTGTTTTTGCCTGTGATCGGAGTTCATTTTCATCGAAAGTCTTTTGCTACTGGTCACCAAAGCATTTTGTTTCATTTTACTTCAAAAATTCCAATTTTGAAGAAAATGATGTGAAGATCGCACTTTGAAGGGATCGATACATTTGTAGAGTGTTAGTTAATCTAGCAGTGATCCTCCTACAGAGACCAAGAGTAAGCCTGAGGTTGAGAGCTGTTGAACGAGGGAGTTGCAAAGCTATGGACTGTAAGTGATTGGTTTTTAGTAGAACGAGAAGGTGTGGGCCTGAGTCGAAATCAATTGTACTTTACTTCATATATAGTGGATCTTTTTACTCAGAGCTGCAAAAGTCTTTGTGGTTTTCATCCCTGTTGTCCCGATTTCGTCCAACCAAGGTTTCCACACACAAAAATCCGATGTCTCTCTAAATTCACTTTTTACTTTACTTGCACTTTAATTTTGCTTTTGGGTTGTTTAATTAACTTTTATTTTGATAAATTTAATTTAAGCAAAAATTGAAAAATATAAAAAGTTGAACATATTCACCCCTCGAGGTTGTTTATCCATATTATATCACACAACCATTCTGTAGCTCACAGTTGGTAACCGAGACATCCTCGTTCCCCATATTATTTGAAAAAGAGGGGCCCTCTAATGGATGTCACAAGAGACAATGAAATTAATTAAATAAAATATGAAAAGCCTAATAAATTATTTGCTTTTAACAGCTCTTCACAAGGGTTTTAGAGAAACCCCAGTTGACAGCAACTCTTGATTCTCTATCCTCAGCCAGTATCCTCTCCAGCTCGCTTGGTCTGCAAGGGAATGTTAGTGCACCTTCATGATCGAAACCATACTCTTCGGCTGCTTGCTCCAACATTCTCGAGAAAGATGGGTTGGTCAGAAAGCTCAATGGAACGATGAATCTCTTGAGTTCATCGTCGTCCACTGCCATCACCGCAAAGTGCCCTTCCTTCACGTCCTGCGGCACATTCATGGAGTCATTAACATCTTCAAACTCGTCCGAATTAGAGGCCGGTTTCTTGCCCCGTAAAAGACTCTTTTGTAGTTTTTCTACAACAATCTTGAGCTTTATAATGCTATTCTTCTTCTTATTAGCACTGGTTCTGAAGTTAACCATGGCTAGCTATAGATTTGTTTCTTCTTTTTTCTTTTTTCTTTTTCTAAAACTCAGTGAGTGCGTTTTCTTAGCTTCCATATTTATATTGTAAGAGCTGGTTCAAGAGATAAGGTGAACGTACGCATATGAGAGATGGAGAGAGATAGGGGACATGGTCCGACTGACTTCGGTGTAAATATGGGAGAACAGTGCATGTGAGTGAACTCTCATCCCAACCCATGAAACGTCCATTTTAACCAGTCATGTTTGTCTCCCAATTATTTATACTTCTATCTTTGTTCAATCAATTTAATTGGTCAAGTCTTAGTTTCCTATATATATCTATGCTATTTAAGTACTAGTGTTGCACGTTTTATTATTAATTTCTTGTAAATAATTAGATTTATGAAATAAAACCTAACAAAGTCAAAAATTGAAAAAGGAGAAAAAATATCTCGAGGTGATAGTAGTAATTAAAAGTTGGCCGAAGTATTAATCTCTACCACATTTTGCATGATCGTCCTATACATAATTTATGAACTTCTTGGTAATATTTTTTCAAGGATCCGATGCCATTACAAGGTTCAATGGATTTACACCGACCGTTACACTGCGACCACAAATCATGTCTCTACCCTCCCACGTATATGTATCTCCATATATATATATATATATATACACAAAAATTGTAATGTTAAAAAAATCAATCCGTTTTTGTAGTTAGGCAATAAATAGAGTCTAATAAGGACTCTTGTCAATTTTTAAAAATAATAAAACTCTTTTCTAGGTGTTTATCCCAATCATTACTTCCCACATTAGGCCAGTTATGTAATTGGTAAAATAGAGTCGACAATTATATTATTTTTTATATAAAAAACATTAATTAGGAAACGATTATCATGAACATGGCGTGTGTGTGTGTGTGTATATATATATATATATAATGTACCTTGTATATATTTATCCAAATTATATATATATAATGTACCTTGTATATATTTATCCAAAAGGGTGCGGGTTCTTGATAGAGAAAATACGTGAGGCAATTGAGCAAGGTTTGGATCTTGATAAATGTAGTACAAATAGTGTACATTCAAAATCTTGCCTCCCAACCTCTATTTTTATATCTTGTCCCACTTGAAAAATACAATTCCTTTACACGGCCGGCCAATGCGGTACAAATGCAAATGATCTAGATATTCCAGATGCTGCCCTAAGTTACTAGCTATAAACTGCTAATCTTAATTTTATGTCTGGTTTATTCTTGGCTTACTACGAAGTACGGATACGGATAAGGGATATGGATACGACACGACACGGATACGGCGACACAGCAAATTTCAAAAAAATAGGATATAGAGATATATAATTATATATTCAAAATATAATTACTAGAATCTTATACAGATAAATAAAACAACAACAAATAACAGAATCAATTTCAATAATTTCATCTCTTTTATAAGAAAAATATAGACAAGACAAAATAGAAAATAAATAAAAAATAAAGTTGATCCAAATTCCAAACGAAGATGTGCAGAAGAGACATAACTATAATGAACTAAATATGTATATAAATAAACATATATACTTTCAGTCTTTCACAAAGTTTTGTTCATGTAACTTAAATATATATATATATATATATATATATATATATATATATCTTGTTCATGAAGAGAGATAATTGAAGACGAGGAGAGACTGCGAGGAGTGAGAGATAATAAATTTTGTCTCACAGAAGTGTCAGACAGTGTGTCCGAGCCTCGGACACGCTTGTCTAATAAAAAATAGTATTTGGACACTTTACAGAAGTGTCGGACACGTGTCCGAGCCTCTGACACGGGTGTCGGTGTCCGAAAAGTATCCGACACGGGTACGGGGCCCCTGGGAGGAGTGTTCGTGCTTCATAGTTGGCTTATATTAGCGTGTGTGATGTTTTGGCTAGAATTTTTATATTTTTTATTATTTATTTATTTTTTTTTACTTTTGTGAATTTGAATTTTAGTCTCTATCATATAACCCAATATACAAGGATTGTTAAGGTTTTATAGAATGGGTAAGCCAGAATTCTTGAAAGTTTAAAGTAAAGAGAAAGGAAGATTAGTGATTGAGATTTGAGACTTATAATATATGTTTGTTGTTGGTATAATAAAATCTTTTGCCTATCTTTATTTTATTTTTTTTGGAAGGTATTTTTGTTGTATCTTTATTGTAAATGTAACAAATCGACACGTAAATTTTTATATACTGTCTGGCACATAATTTATGTTTTTCTATCTTTTCTTGCTTGTGTTTGTAGTTTATCGCTATTTGTCGTAACATTAGTTCCGTTAAAACATCAAAGGCCATTGGGTTTTACTAGCGATTGACATGGGCAGATTCAGGATTTCTGAAAGGGGTGAGCTAATATTATTATTATTATTTTTTGGTTGGGTTAAAAATAGTATAGTAATTCTATTTTATTTTTTTGGGGTGGGCTGAAGCCCACCTTCATCCACCCCTCCCTCCGCCCTTGCATGAGTTCATTGGGTTTTGCATTCTTTGCGGGTTATCAATGTTTAACTTTAGGAAATATGTTCTACTTTTGAACATGTCACAAAGAGAAATAAATTATTGCACTCGTTGCAGCAAGGTGCGCATCCAACCGTTTATTATCTGCATGTATATTACACGAAAGATTTGGCTGTGCTAGTGGCATGGTGCAATGGGCCCAATGAAATTTTTTTCATGTCACACCTGGAAGAACAACGATGATTAAATTTGATTATTTTTATGACCGAGAACTTGCATAGCTATTAACACCCGTGCGCGGGGGAGGGGTTCCAGGGGCATAGCGGTGTTGGTAAGGATTCGGATTAAATTTGAGTACGTGTTGTTGCAATGGTGGAAGATATGTGAATAAGAGTGATAATTGAGTAAATATATATGTGAAGGTATACTAAAATTAGTACAAAGACATTTTTGTCTAAAAAATATATATGAGAAATTAAATGTCCAAACAGTTCCATTTCAGCTAACTTTTGTTAATTAAATCACCCCCCTCGAATAGTTGAGGGGAATTTATTGACAAAAAAATAAAAAAAAAATAGAAATTTAGTGAAAAATACAAATACAAATAAAAAAGAAAAATTTAATGTAATTCACCTATAAAAAATAAGTGTTTGAAACCACGGACCCTGCCCGTTGGTGGCGGGAGAGGAGGGAAGGGGGCCATGGTCCCGTCTGCAAATATTTTATTTTTAGAAATATCTTGTTTGTAGTACAACAGAAAAATCTAAAACGCTTGCCCCATATGCATGTTTACCAACTAGGTCCTCTGACCAAACCGGATTCGGATCCTAATAATGCCAAATGAAAGCAAATCTAACAAATAATATGAAAAATAAGTGTTTGAAACCACCGAACCTGCCTGTTGGTGGCAGAGGCGGAGGAAGTGGCCATGGCTCCCCTCAAATATTTTATTTTTAGAAATATCTTGTTTGTAGTATCACACAAAAATCCAAAACACTTGTCTAATATTTTTGTTTACCAACTCATAACAGGTCGTCTAGTCTCATCCACTGGAGGTTACAAATGCGCAACCGCATTCGGAAAAAAAAATAAAAATAAAAATGCTCAACACGCCTCATTGGTAACTCATAACAGCTCCTCTGGTCTCATCCACTGAAGATTACAAATGCTCGATGTTTTTTTAGTCATGTACAACTAGTGTATATTAAAATAAATAAATTAAAAATTAAATATACATAATCTTAATTCTGCATGTGGAAAGTTAATTTGCAATTTTAAGGTTCCTGGACACGCAGAGTTGGTGCATATATTATTCAAAAATTCACATCTGCCTGTCAAATTTGCCTCTCATAGATTATTAAAAGAAATGTCTAATATATATATATATATATATATGCCTAATTATTTTTTCTTTTTGAGCACACTTGATTGTCATTTCTTATCAAAAGAAAGTATAAGATATTTTCTTATATTTATGACCCACATGATTTGGACACGTGATTTACTTCTATTATTTGATAAGTAAATAAAATAAATATTTGATTAATATTATATTATTTGGTAAACTTATAAATTACCTTTATGGTAATTAATAATTGGAGAAGTGTTTTCCTATTTATTCCTTATTTTGATGGAAAGTGGAATTAAGGTTACTAAAAAAGAAAATTGGTCCTCTCTCTGTTTTTATAAAAGTGCATATATCATATCAATTATGTACGCTAATGAAAATAACACGTATAATATTTATGTGTGCAAAAGGCCAAGAGAGATAAATCGGTTTTCACGCTTTGGCTATTGCAGTTTATCACGTTATTCGTTCCGCGAAAAGGATCTCGACATTGGACTTGATCTTTACGATATTTGCAATCACAGATCGAGGTATTTATATCTAACCATATTTATTTATGCATTATAAGTATGTGAGAATAATGAAGTTCTAAGATTTGGGATTCATATTTATTTGTAATGAATAATTTGCACGAATAAATTATAGTTTATATAAAACTCTGGGACTATGACCCACTTGACACATGAAATTGTACTTTTATCCAGCCTTAGTATTTATTCTAGTCTTATTTTTTGATACAAAAAGCACTCCAACTTCCTACACACACACACACACACACACACATATGTGTATAATAGATGATGAGCTAGATGAAAAAGTACAAGGGCATAATAGTAAGGCCGGATAATTATTTATTTTTTATTTTTTTATTTTTTAAGTTTTTAATATATATTAGGACTATACTATTATATTAGCTCACTTCTTTTGTAATGACCCAGTCATTTTCCTTCCTTTTCTTTTTTCTCAAATTTTACGGATAAATTTTTTCCGTTATCTTTTCCTTTCCAAGTTCTATTTCTTGTCACTAGGTGTCGCCTCGAGTGCTTGGAAATGGTGTCCGAGACTGTTTTGTTCAGATTGACAACTTCCTTTGAAAACTGAGTCATTTCCGCATTTTCACTTTTTCAACTCTATTCACTTTTCGTCTTTTTCTCGATTGTCACATTGTTGGCATAACTTCACTTTTCGTGTTCGGATTTGATTCCAATTTTTGCATGCATCCACGATATTTAAATTCCATGCCATTTGTATTTTTACTTTTGTAGAAAAGCATGCTAGTTGTGTACTTTCTTCCTTAGGGGTGTGGATTCACACTTCTTTGGA